CTGATAAATGAGGAAGGATTCTTTGTTGGTTTTGTGTGTGGTCTGTGTGTCAGTGTCTATATGTGTATGCCCATTGTGCAGCTGTGGGTCCTGCCTTTTATCTGATCGTTCTTAGGCAGCAGCTCTTCCTCCCATCCCCCAAAGTTATTCCCAAATACCATGACATATCTTCAGGCAAGAATCTGACCTAGATCTAACATGATCTGCTGCTTAGTTAGGAACTTCCCACATGAGTGTCTATGGAGATTCTCAGTCATCCAGGTTATGGTTCTCCCAAAGAGGCTTTTTAAAGAGGCAACTGGACTTGCTTTATCTTTCCTCAAAGACATTTCGCTTCTCATCCAAGAAGCTTCTTCAGTTCTGAATGCTGGTTCAGAACTGAAGATGCTTCTTGGGTGAGAAGCGAAATGTCACCAAGTAAAGACAAAGAAAGTCCAGTTGCCTCTTTAAAAGGAACCTTTGGGACTCCCACATGAGTATTACGATAGAAGAAGATTGTTAGTATGAAAATCACTTTGTGTTTTGGGCATCTTTAAAAATGTAAAGTGTGAAGGCAACAAACATATTTTCAAATTTTCACACGAATACACCTGGTAGGAAGTTGGGGATAGTAACTGACTACATGCCCTTCTAAAATGCCAGATTTCTTGCTAGGCAATATAAGAAATAGATTATGGCAAAAAGGTAGCAAGTAATTATCAAGCCCAACACCTTATAAAACAAGGTTTTAAAAAACTTCATGGAAATCTCTATTTCTCCTGAGCTACGTTTTAAGAAAAATATTTTAATATTGCTTGAAACATAATGGATGTCAGTAAGTAATTCTATAATTCAGGATGGTAAAACCCAGACATCATAATTTAATGGTTGTGTGAAATCTTAGTTCTCCTAAATTATTAACCTCCAAAGCTCAAGGGATTTTCTAAACTTGTAAAGGAGAATTTTAATGTTTTGAAAAATTTAAACAAAATAAGTGAAATTATTGTGTAAGATGAAAGTAAAGGATAAAAAGCTCCACCTTTTCCATTTTTCACAGTAGAAAACCATTATCATGATATTTCTTTGGAAAAAGCTGCAGGGGTCATTGCGACCTAAAATTTAACAGAAGCATGGGCAGCCTCTGAGTATGTTGGAAAATTATTGCTTTTAATCATACACGCATGTATGTTTAAGAATGTATCAGGTGCACAAAAATCTAGGTGGGTGTACCAATTTCCAGAATTCTCAAAAATAGCAATTCTTTCTGGGGAATTTTGTGAGCTATGAAGGGCCCAACACAGAAATTGTTGCCGAAACATTAAAGTGTAGTCACATTTAATACATAATCTTCCTATGCAGGGGGGACAGGAGGAATGAAATGGAAAGAGAAATTGCTAGAAAATAAGTAGTATTAATGAAAAACAGTGGAAAAGCACAGACATGAGTGCTGGAGTGAAAAGATTAATCTTGCCCTTTGCTTTGCTCTTTTGACAAAAAACTCAATTTGTATTCAACATTACAAAAATTGCTAAGTGTTAGAGAATCTCTTGAGCATGATCCTTATTATTTTTATTAGGAATTGGCAAGGATAATGTGGATTTGAAGAGAGAAATGTCCCATATGTAGTTTTCAACACATATTTTATATTTTTGACTTAAATATAAAAAAACGCAATTTATTTTTATAAGAGACACAATTTCACCGATAAACTAGATGTTCAATTTAATAGAAGTAGAATTGACTATAGTCATGGACCAATTCAGAAACAAAAAAGAAAAGTAATTGCAACACAGCAAGTAAAACCTATGTTAAAACTTAATAAATATAACACTGATGTGGTCAAATTAGGTGGAATTTTATCATAGCAAAACAAAACACACTCACATTCAGAGAAACAAAAATCACAGTTATCAGATGGTAATACTCTGTAATTGTAAATGAAATACATTTGGGTGTCCTGGAAATCTGTCTAAATAGAGAGTTATTAGCTAAAACTGGGCACCTATATAATTGCATTATAGCAAAACATGGGTTAATGTTTCAGGAACTCAAGGGCAAAGTCTTTTTTTTTAAGTGGGAGACTCCATAATTTCCCTTCAAAGACAGATGTTGGAAGGGCATTAAATTTTACCAGATTTGGGTTGTTCTGAATTTGGGGATTCAGTTAGTGTTATGATTTAGCTGAAGGCACCACGTCATTCATAAAAAAATAAACAGCTAGCTAAGCATTTCTTAGTGCCATATTTCAACAAGGCACAGTTTTGCTGCTAAATCCAAATATGTAACTCCCATATAGAGACCAGCTTGAGGCACTGGGCTAGAAACCAGGAACCATGAGTTTAATCCTACCTTAAGCACAAAGCCAACTAGGTGATATTGGACTGATCACTCACTCTCAGCCCTATGAATTAGCAAGAGCAAACCATTCCCAAAAAATGTTGCCAAGAAAACTGCAGGGACTAATCCAGGTAATTTCCAGGGGTCAATATAACTCAAATGCACCCCCCCCCTAATAAAGACAATGTGGAATTTGATTGACACAGAATGAAGAGAATTATGCTACAAAATACTAATGAAATATGTGGAATTAGGCTAATAGGAAGTACAAAAAAGGATGCCAAAGAATGAGATGATATTGCCTGTACTGTATAATGTACTCATAGAGAAAAAGAGAGCTGAAAAGAATCTAATTGAAGAGAGCAGGGAATGGCTAAAATTTCAAGGCATTTAAAAAATGAGAAAGATAATGGGAATAGAAAATTATTTCAGATCTGAGAGAAAAGGACTGAACTAGTGGCCCCGTTTGTGCATGCGCACAGGTGCTAGCACCACCGCTGTGCACTTGCCTGTTTGTGCCTGCATGCACACTGCACACATACACATTTCCCCGTTCCTCCTGGGCCGCCAAGCTGAAAAGGTTGGGGAACTCTGGTTTAGAGGTTTCAGTGGAAATTATAGTGATACATTGAAGAATGGAATTGAAATGAATGCTATAAATGTTTATGTCCAAGAAAAAAAGACATGAAAAGGAGACACCTAATGTAAAAATGCTGAAAGGTGGTAATTTCCGTATGCTAGGAGATTTGCTGTGATAAATAAAAATGTTGCAATGTATTTAAAATAGTTCTTAATAGCCTATGTTTGATATATGCTTCAGCTGCTGTTTGGCTCTGTGATTTGCAGCCTATTTTTGATTGATTTGAAAAATCAATTTGATTTAAAACGATATGGAATAGCAGAGATGCAATCATCACATATCCTATCAAGTGTCCCACTGTGACATGTGCTCAGATGCTGTGTGCTGATTGCTTTATAAACCTGGCAACCTTTATGCCATGTTTATGGCTATATGCCCATTGAGCAACTTTTGCATTTGAATATACTGTGTATATATAGCAGCATAACAGCGCCTCAGGAAAAAATGAGCTCCAGTTTAGATCCTGTCCTGCAAACAGAAACCTTTTCCCATAAGTATATCTTTGCAATGATTACAGTGGGGAGGAGAGGAAGGGGGAATAAGTACTTCAATGTCACGATCATGATTACATCTACCTACCTACCTATCTACCTACCCCTTTCTCTCATTTATCATCTATCTATCTGTCTGTCATGGCCCCATCGGAGGCTAGTTCAGAGGAGGAGGAGGAGGAGGAGGAGGAGGAGTTGCAAGTGGGACCATCCGACAGGAATGACACATCTCCCTTGGCATGTTTGGAGAGGCCAGGGGCTGAGGACGATGCTGTCCCAGGCCCCTCAGGCATTGGGGAAGGTGGTCGACCAGATGGAGAGCTGCCTGGCTTCACAGACACAGGGGAAGATCGGCTGCTGACAGGCAATGGTGCTGATAGGCAGCAGATCCCCTCTGATGAGGAACAGCTGCCTCCTCCACTCAATCCAAGGGCATGGAAAGCTGAACATAGAGAAGGGCTGCAAGGTTAGTTGGGAGAAGGTCACCCCAGCCCTCCTCACAAGGAACACTTGGAGTGGACTAACTTATGAAGAAGCCATGGGAAGTTAGTCTTTGCCAGGAACAATTGCTTGTTTTGGATTACACTCCCCCGGCTTTGACTCATGTCTTTTTGCCATGCTTTGAGGACAGCTTTTCACCTTTGCTTTGAGGACTGCCGTTGGTCTTGCCCTAGCCTTGTGGACTGCTTTTGCCCTTGTGGACTGTGTTAGCCTTTGCTTTGCTTTACCTTGAGAACTGCCTTTGCCTTGTACCTTGTTTTTGCCCTGAGGTCTGCCATTTGTCTTATGCCTGAATTTTGCCTTGTGGACTTTCCTGGTACTAGATGGGCTATTGTTTGGGGGACTGAGGGTGGCTGCCTTCAGGGTAGCATGGGGTGGAGCCTTACTGGTCGTTGGAGGGCCGTTTGTTGAACACTTCTGGAGGACAATAAAGGACTCTCCAAAGGCCTGCCTCGCCTTGACCACCTGGGTCATAACACTATCATCTATATCTGTTTGTCTGTCTATCTTTCTGTATCTATTTATCTATCTATCTCTCTGTCTGTCTGTCTGTTTTTTTGTCTGTCTCTGTCTGTCTCTGTCTGTTTTTTTTCTGTCTGTCTGGCTGTCTATCTATCTATCTATCTATCTATCTATCTATCTATCTATCTATCTATCTATCTCATCAATCATCAGTTATTACCATCACCATTATGTACATAAGAGAATATATTAATAATAATACTAAAGGAAGAGTTAGCATTTATCTCTTGTTCTGTTGGAAGAGAATGTTGGTATTGAGATTGTTCCTTCTCAGGGCCAGCTTTAGATGACTATTTCTGTAGTTCTGTAGTCTTGCTCCTTAATTCTGCTACTTGTCAATCTATTTGGCCTCTGTTTAAGCTTTCCCATATCCATGAGAATATCCTAAATATCAATTTATTGATGCTATGGTTTTATTAAGTAAATAGATTTGAGTGCTATTTGGTTCAGATAGTAACTAGTCCACACACATAATATCCTCTTTATCATAGAAAATATACACAAATTACTCTACTGATTATGAAACTTACCTCAGATATCTCTTGTTACCTAGCCCATATTCCTTTCCACAGATTCCTAAGCGAGGCCAGAGGCACCGTGGGAGTTTGCGCTCTAGCATAATGGTAGTGGAAACAACCTGAAACACACAATTTTAAAAACTTGTTAATCAGAATGTTTTAATTAAATCAAGGGATTCCACTAGTGTCGTGGTTGGAACCTTCCTCTTTTGCGATAGTTGAAGAAGGCAACACAGACTAAAGAACAACAAGATTTACATTTGTAAATTCCCTGGAGGAGTATGGCCACATTAAACAATATTTGGAGCCATTGTTCATCCAGTCCTGATGCTTCCAGAATTCCACATGGAAAGGATTCCACGTAGTTTTTCATTGTTTACTTCTCCTTCAGAAATTTAGGGCGCCATGTAACCTTGGGTAATATTCCTAAAGCAAGTTTTGGAGTTTCTCTTAGTGCCAATATGCAATGTACCTTCATGAATTGCAGCATATGTCATAGCTACAAATTTAGGGAATGATCCAAGTATCATCCATTCTGATGGGGACAAGCAGGCTCAGAATTTTTATTCCTTCTTCCTCCTTTCTTTGGCAGTTTTTGTTCACCTTTCCCTTAAAAGTTGACAGGACATTTTTTTTCTCTTCAATTTTTCTCTAATCCTATTATTGCTATACTAATTTTCAAAGCCATTCTAGCTTCCATACATCTGGATTTATGTAGATACAATTCTTACCTGCAGTCATGCATTATGCATGAGTGAACAAATTAGGAAACTCCATAATTATCTTTTAAAAAGCCAAGTTTTACTCCCCAGCATTCAATTATATGTATTTAAAACAGGTATGATTATTGAAATCATGTTTTCCCAATAATAATTATACCAGTTGAAAAGAATCACTGATTTGTTCGGGATTCTGGAATCACAACATAATTCAAAGTCTAATTCAGAAAGGATATTGAACATATTTTCATTTCAGTTTTATCCCGAGAAGATTCCCCTTTAGTGCAGATTTTTATTAAATGGACACAGAAACTGTTTTCTGAACTTATTTTCTATTTGCTTTCATTAGATAGAAATTAACCTAAAGAGAATTATCCGCTCAGGGCCCTTTCCCAGTTCCCTCCCCTCCATCATGTGCAATCAATTAATAGTCAAAAGAACCTTCATCCCTCACCTGCGCTCTCCAAAGTTCATCCCGCTCATGAGCCACACGCCAGTGGGTATCCCCCATCATGGCAATAAGGAGGTTGAGCATAAGAAGGGCCGCAATAATAGCAAAAGCAGAATAAGTGATGCCATACATAAAAGGCAAGTCCACCTCGTAGTTGGCAGGTCCATCAATGATGGTAAGAAACAGCTGAAATGTGCTGTAGAGTGCCATGGGATAGCTATAAAAGTGGCCCAGTTCATTGGGGTCTTCTGTTTGGAAGATGATGTAAAATGCTGGCAAAGAAAACAAAAGAGCATGAGTTCGGATTCTAATTAGAAGATGATCTCTTGTTGGACATTTGCCATGTGTAAAGTTTTGTCTGCTCTCAGTATCATTGCGTAGCTGAATTGTTAGCCTTCATTGTTATTCTCCTGTTGCATCTCTTTTGCAAAAGACACCCTGCCAAAACCACTTACAGCATGACATTGTTTCCAATCAGATTTCTCTACAAACACACCTTTTCTGTAAAGCTTTTGGCCTAGTTTTCCTTACTGTTGCCAATTGGTTTGGATTGGATTGGATTGATTAGATTAAATTAGATTAGATTTTGCCAAGAATGCATGATATAACTGTGATAGATATAGATAGATATTAGACAGACAGATAATCTTTCCCAGACTGAACCAAATATAATTCTCACTCGTTTCATTCTATAGCAACTAATTTCTTGAGAATAACAGGAGGAAGGAGTAACACTTGGAAATGCTGCTAAGGAAAAAGAGAGACGCCATTTGTTCACTCTGCAAATTATTTTTATATGCCCTGTTTTTCTCAATCTGATGGAGAGGAAGCCTTTAGAAATTTTAATGCAGAGAGTGCTTATATGGTTAGGTTGTAATATGTGGGAAGTCTCAGGGGTAGCTAGAGACTTGATTGATTTAACAATGGTTTGGTATGCAAATAAAGCTTTCATTTTTATTGTTTCCTCTGTTCAATTGTGTTTGATCTTGGGGTCTTCCTGGACAAGTGCGTGAGTCGCCCAGCTCTGGGCCTAAGGCAGAACTACTCCCAGTTTCTAGCTTATTGCCTTAACTATTACACTAAACAGGTTCTCTCAAAGCTTTTATTAGAGGTCATTTTATACAATATAATAGCAAACTTAAAAAGAAAAGTCAAGAGAAAATACACATTATTTTAGATGAGATAAAGTGAAAAGAAGAATTTAAGAATTCTCCAGAGAAGATAAAATATTTCTCAGCAAATTAAGCTTCTACAACAACATAGATAGTTGTTGTTGTATCTATGTTAACAGTCAGAGAAATGGAAATAAAAATGAATTATGCAAAGCAAAAATGAGTTTGCAAATAAACCAGGCAAGTGGTTAGCATATAAATTACAAAAAGAAAATGATATTTAAATTAAAAGAGGGAGATACTGTATGAATGGTCAATGCGGCCATACAAAAGCATTTCATCAATATTATTCTAATTTGTATAAAAGAAGTGACATCTCTTTAGAGAAAATAGATGAATATCTAAAGAAACAAAATTTACTGAGGATTACAGAGGAAAAGACACAAGATGATGAACTGACCTATATTAATAAGGGAAGTTTCTGAGGCTACAAAAAAGATTAAATTAGGAAAAGTGCCTAGACCAGATGGATTATCAGGCTCTTATTATAAAGGTTTTGACCTAGAATGTTCTACCTAGAATGATGTTTTTGTCTCATACAATAAATCTTTTGACAACAGATGCATCATTTAAAAAGTGGCAAAAGGAGTATCTAAATTCATGTGGCAGGGGAAAAAACATGAGTTAAATATAAGGTGCTACAAGACACAAAGAGGAAGACTGTGTTTATCTGATTTGAAATTGTGCTTTAGAGCTTGCTATTTGGGAAAGCCAAGGGGAATCATCAAAACAATTAAAAAAACAAATTAGAATATTTCGGACATGTGATGCGACACCCAGAAAAATACGGCATACTCCATTTAATCCTCCAGGGAAAGATTGAAGGCAAACAAGGTCCAGGCAGAAGAAGAACATTGTGGCTTCAAAATCTAAGGGATTGGTTTGGACAAAACTCAGCAGCACTTTTTTGTGCGGCTGCTGATAAAAACATTATCGCCAACATCTGATAACGGATATGGCACAAGAAGAAGAAGAAGAAAAATTTGATTTGGATGAAAGAATAGATGGTTCTATTGAGAAATAGAAAGCTTTTAGATTTAGGAGAACATGACTTGAGATTTGGACCTCATGAATATTTGTGGTATGACAAAGTCAAGTTCAGTTTGGATTTTAAAAATCATTGTGCTAGACATACTATAATTAAGAATAGATACAAACCCAGGTTGTGCCTGAAAACCACCCTGTGGCTTTCAGCAAAAGAAGCATATTACAAGAGAGAAATAATAGGCAAATACAAATGGTTCACTTATTGTGAAATAATAGAATTTTGCCAAAGAACATTTAAAATAAAATCAAGAGAATAACTGGTAGCAAAGGTATATAATTGTCAATGGTCCTCTTATTTGCAATTACTAGAAATATTGAAACAATATGGTTTTAAACATCCTAAGATTGAGATTGTGTATAAATGATCAACATGTAATTATTAAAACGTTTAAACTTATTGAAATTTGTAATTTTTTATATTCTTAAAATTTTTAATAAAATTATTTTTTTTAAAAAAATTAAAAAATGACATTGAGGGATTTGTAGTATTATATATGCAATTCTATGAAATGCCATGCATCTTTATGATACTGAATTAGTGATAGTTGGTAGAGGATCTTGGTAAAACTTCAAAAATACTTCAGATTCCATTTTATGATTTGATATATTAGGATAAGAGGTACAAGAAAGGTTAAATATCACAGCCAGCTTAAGATAGGCAATGGTAATCTGCTGTAGTAAAAATTATGAGTCTTGTGGCAGGATGAAGTCTAATCAATTACTCTGCCATTCACTACCATTAATCATAACTTATTTTATCAGACTCATGAAGCTATCACCTTAAGCAATAAATTAAATAGCATATTATCTGACAACATAAAGAAAAGGAAGATAGAGACTGCAAAAAGGAAATATTTACACAGCATATCAAGTAACCAGTTCCAGCCTCAGGAAATTTTTTTTACAGAAGATAGAATCCAATCAGATAAACCCATTGCAATCCAATAAAAATGGTGGGAGGCTCCCTCCTCTTTTCATTATTATCATGACTATTAATTTCAAGATTACATTATTCTATGTATATGTACATTTCCTTTTATTATTAGTTGGTAACATACAAACAAAAGGAAAACTCAAAGATATGGCTACAACAGAAGATATCCTATAGCCAAGAGGAAGGAATTTGGTAATATTCCCGTTCTCGGTGCTTTAAAGAATTGCTACACTTTTCATGTGGATCAGTTTATTATGAAACCTGGGATAAATTTTACTGCTGGAAGAATTTGAAGAGGACAGTCGAGATTAAAGATGAATGTTAAGATAGAAATATATGTTATTTTAGAACAAGTATTGTATATAATACTTAAATGTATATGTAGAAATGAAAAATTGATTGTAAAAGGTGGAATAATCTGATAAGAATGTATATACTGGAATGTCACGTCAAATCCAATGTTTGTTTGTTTTTAATTGTATTATAAATAAAAAAAAGAATTGCTACACTTTTCTTTGTAAGCCAAGTTCACAAGAATGTAGTCTAGAATAGGTAACATACCAGATGCAAACCCAAGGATGACCACCACCATGAGCCAGCAGAAACGGAGGAGGTCTCCAAATATCATCTAGAAAGAAAAACATACAGTGACCAAGCAGCTCTTCTCTCTCACAAAACTACATTCAAGGAACAGCATTCTAGATCAAGACAAAGATGCTCTGGATTAGACTATAATATCATTCGAGCCCCATTCCAACTTCAAGGGATCCTTTATCTATTTGCTTCTAAAGGGTTTGCTAGCTAGGAACTGTGGCTGCTGAAGTCTAACCCATCTGAAGGGTCCCAGGAAAAGGTCATCCTGACCCCAAGCCTCAGGTCAGAAATCAGGATTTTGGAAACAGCCACTTCAACTTGAACATATTTAGTAGTTAAACTATAGCCCTGTAGATCAGGGGTTCTCAACCTTGGCAACTTTAAGACTTATGGACTTCAACTCCTAGAATTCCTCAGCCAGCTTTGCTGGCTGAGGAATTCTGGGAATTGAAGTCCACAAGTCTTAAAGTTGCCAAGGTTGAGAACCCCTGCAGTGTAGATAGAATAACCCCCGATAAATAAAAGTTCAGTAGTGGAGTGAGGAAACAGGATTATCTTGCCTGTAGCACTTAAATTATTTGTTCTAGACATTTTTGATGCTTTCTGTCAACCAAATTCCAGCTATTCTTCAACAGAAGTTTTGAGATGGCCTAATCAATCTTTATCTGCTGAGTTTTGACTGCCTCAGTTCTATCTTTTTTTGTTTGCAGAACTGGTATATTCTCATTTTATTGATTGTTCCTGTTTCAAGTTGCTATAGAAAAGCATATGAAGATGGGAAAAGTTCACACATTTGCTTCTTTTATTTGCATTAATGTTTTATAAAGCCATTATGGTTAGCACATTTGAACAGCCTCTCTCTCCCTTACATTGTCAGCGGATTTATCAAATTCATTTTCAGTGCCATTTAAGCTGGTGGCCATTACTGTAACAGTTATTTTACTGAATTTTTCTACTGAACTACTGAACTCCAGCTGCTCAATATTTACTTCTGTCTGTCTTGAATTTATTACCAATCAGGATAGAAAGAAAACAGCCAGGCAATCTAAACTCACAATGAAAATGAACTGTGCCCTTTAAATATTCAACAGAGTCATCCACAAGCTTCCAAAAGGGCCCTAGAATATTCAGAAATATTAAGTCCCTTTACCTCTGCTATTTCTTTCTACTCCCATCGCAAAAGGAGTGAAAAAAATTGCAGAACAGTCAGCATTCCAAGAAGTGGAGAGCTTCCTTGAAGATGGAAATGCCCAGAGCTTTTTTTCTCACAGAACGCCCAGAACAGAGTTCCAGCACCTTTTTTTGGATGGAACCTTGTAGGGTAGGAAAGGCGGGTTGTATGACGTGTGTGAGTTCTGACACCTTTTTTTTTTTTTTTAAAGAAAAAAAGCACTGGAAATGCCCATAGGGGCATCCTCCTTTGTAGTAGAAGAGAAATGAATGAATGATTGATAGCAGATGCTACACTGAATACTGAGTGAGGGAAAACTTACTTAAAGGGAAAGTTATGGGTGGGAAGTCTTTTTAAAGAGAGGCTGTACAGTTAATGGTATTATATAATAATTAGATGTGATTGCTATTTCATATAATTCATCTAGTTAGGAATTCAGAAATATTTGAATATATGAGAAATATCAGTACATCTCACTCAACATACTAGATCTGAAGGATAGCTGCAAAGATATGGAGAGAAGAGTCCTATTTTTCTTTATTATTCAATGGATGGTGACAGCAGATTAAGCTGGGGAGAGCTGGGGTAAACCTAAAAGCAATCTACAGATGAGGGTCAGGAGAAAATTCCAAGATAAATGATATCTACATCTTTCTTACTTGCTAAATGAAGACTAAAAATTAGATCAGAAAGTGATAGACAGACAGACAGACAGATAGATGATAGGTAGATAAAGATCTTTACTATCCTTATAGAGGATAGTATAAGGACTCCTGCCTTGCGTAGGGGGTTGGATCAGAAGACTTCCAAAATCCCTTTCTTCCCTATAATGCTATGATTCTATCACCTTCTATTTATGATGAAAAAATGTTGCCAGAAACTGTATCAGCATATCCTTCATCTATCTATCTATCTATCTATCTATCTATCTATCTATCTATCTATCTATCTATCTATCTATCTATCTATCTATCTATCTATCTATCTATCTATCCCATCACCATCTTCTTTTGTGGACACTCTCTTACTTTTTGTATCATGATGGTAAAGGGCCCAAGCATCTGAAATCCTCGTGCAAAGTACATAATATTGCACCAGCCAAGCACCAGAGCCAGAGACATGGGTACAACTTCTCCATTGGTGCTAGTGAGACGCATCACCATGGTCAGCAGAATCATACAGGCATACACAATGCTGCAGAGATAGAAATAGCAATGAAGAACAGAATTTATACAGTTCCCACCCCCCCAGTAACATTCAACAGCAAACCAACTACTAGGAAAGAACCTTACATGATGGCATGGAAAGGTCCTCCAAGGATAGTTTGCCCAAAGTACTTGGTTATTCCAAATCTGAAGATATCTGGAATCTGGAATAAAGCCATTGATCAATGGTGTACTCTGTTTAAAAACAATTGGCACATTTTCTCACCAACAAACAAAGAAAAGAAACCCAAAAACGCAAAGGAATTCAGAGACAGAACTCCCCCCCCCCATACTAGAATCTGAATGAATTATCTGGACTGCAATCACATGCTGAGGCCTTTTCTTTCATTTTGGAGAAGTTACTTCCTGATGCAAAAGCGACTGGTTCAAAACGCCTGTGAAAGCTTTAGGATTGGTTCAAAACGCATAGGGAAAGCTTTAGGATTACTTAGTTAAGCACTACAGTATCACATTAGATTAGCACTGTACTAGATTAGGCTCTAGTGTATACATTGTAGCAGCCTTTATATAGAGGTCAGAGGATCTAGAAAGATCTTATGTTAAACAATATTGCTAATCCTATTGTAGAATGCTTCTTCTGGTGCTCAGTTGCTTTCTACTCAATTTTTTTCACACAAAAATTGGAGAAGGAAAAACATTCCTCTTACCTCCAAGATCAATATCACGATGGCTCCAACAACAGTGATCAACTCACCAACAAGTCTGTGATTATCTTCAGAAGTAATGTAAGACTCCTGAAAAGGAAAGCAAACCCATATTGGTAGGAACATCACATTCTCAAGAATTAATATTTCAATTATCCAACTTCCTTGTTTCATGGACTTAGATCAAGATGACAGTGAGGATCAATAAAAGTGGTTGAGTTTAGAGTATATCCAGGACTGCATTCCATCTTCAAATCAGAGAAACAATATTAGTGACTACTCGTCTATTTGCCTTTTCCTTGGAGAGCTGTCCCAATCTGTACATCTCCCCAAAGGATAGTGGATAAACACAAGACTGGCACTGTGGAAGCCATGCCATGGTTCTAGAAGTTAATGAAAACTATACAATTACTTTGATGGACTGCCCAATTACTCTAAAATTTTGAAGAAAAGAAAAAAAAAGAGCAGGAAAGTTAGAAACTTGAATATAGCAGGATTACTTAATAACTTGAGCTAATGTGCTTTTCGGCTGGAAATCCCACTGGTAGTCAACTTTCAGAATTAATACAGTTCCAAGCAAAGTGAGCCAACTGCCTGACATTCTGATAATTTAAGAAAGTTTGACTTCTTCTCTGCTGTGTCCATCTGTCTTTCTTTCTTTAAAAAAAAAGAAAAAGTCTTCAACTTCCTCATACTCGGGAGATTAAATGCTAATGTTTCCTGTTATGACAATGGAAACTAAACCTTCCAGAAGTAAAATTGTGACAGATGACAACAGAAATTACTGTATTAGGTGACAGTGATATTTTAGAGAAAGGGAGAGGCCAAGTTCAAGGGAAAGAATCCCTCTCTATACTGATGAAAAAGTATGCTATTAAGAACATTACACTTTTCAACTTTAGGGATCCTTTGTTTATCAGATTATTGAAAAAGAGCCTTGTGAATTTAATGTGAAGCTTATAGTGCTATTTAAGACTAGGAAGGCTACTATGGGAGAAATCGGCATAAATGAATATACCCATATCTTCCAACCCACATTTACTGTCAAAATTTAGCGCTAAATGAATTGAAGCCTTGCTTATGGTCATTACACATCCACAATGAGGTTCGTGTAGAGAATCCCCTATTATTTGATCAACACAGAAAATAAAGGCTGTATACATATTAGTTACAAGCACAGTTTATAGTCAAAGAAGCTCTCAAGCGCAACAGCTGTGCCCTTCTTCTTCCTCACAGGAACATAACAGCAGTACATTGTTAATGGAAAACCTCCCACCATATTTCTGAACAAATTTCCATTTTGCCTAAAATGCATTCTCTCATAGTCGGGTCATTAACTGCCACACTCGCTAAAGAGCAATTTTCAGGGAGTCTTCTGAATTGTTATCATTTGTCTGGAAAATCCATGAACCGAACTAATAGTGTCCACACTTTCTCCTCTAACTACCAATTTGCCTGCTATTATTTGAGCTGATGCCAAGCTCAAGACTTCTGATTTCACTGCAGTGGGAATAAGCTCCACAGGGTACTGAGAACTTCTGAATGAATGTGCATAGAATGGCTGTATAGAGCAACATCTTGTTATAGTAGGGGTTCCCCCCAGTGGTGGGATTCAGCCAGTTCGCACCAGTTTGGCAGAACCGGTAACTAATTTTTTGTTGCCTAGGCCCAGAATGGACTTCCAGAAGTGGCATCCACACAGAGAAACGGTTGTTCACGTATTTGAATCCCACCACTGGTTCCCCCCCACCACAAGCTCACAATTATATTAAATGGATAATGCCACTACTTTTTGCCTCCCAAGCCAATTGTTCTTCAGCCCTTGGTTATGTCTGGTTGTGCACGATCTTCGGAGGAGTTGATATCTTGGAATTGAAAATTGTTAAGTGATTTTTACATTTTTAATAGATTTGTGTTAAAGAACCTACCTGCAAAAGTTTCTGAACATAGATGGTGTTGTCTCTTTCATTTGTTTTATTGCAGCTTCGCTCTTTCAGTGGCCGGTAGACACAACACATTGTGAAGCAAATCATGTACAGGACGTAGAATATGGCCAGGATACAAAAATATGGCCGTCCATATTTATTCCACTTCAGACTTACCAGCTCATTCACAGGAGTAAGGTCGAGGATTCTTCGGGCCTGGGGGATGTAAAGTAGCCTATGTTCAGCCTTTTTCTTAGAAATAAATAATTCTCAAAGACAGCAAAAGCCCTGAAAATGAAGGGGGTAATTGGATGGTTTTTAAAAGGGAATGTATTGAAATATTCAGTGTTTCTCATTACTTGGGGAAGGAGCACTGGAGTCCTGGAGTCCTCGGCATGTAAAAATGAAAGTGGATAATGCTAATTATGAAGTTGGTAAGGATGAAGATTCAAAAGCAGAACATAGCTTGACGATGTGTGAGATCTTTGAGCAAGGCAGATGACCATTCATGGCTGAAATACACTTAAAAAAATCCACCATCAAAATCAGTTCATATGCTGGTTGGTGGCATTATTTCTTTCAATTCTTTTAAACATTGTATATTCTAATGAACAATCAGCATGACCATAAGAGTGGCATAGGATAACACAAATGGTCCTTAGCTCTCAGTCAGTGTAAGACAGTGATGGCGAACCTTTCAGAGACCAAGTGCCCAAACTGCAACCCAAAACCCACTTATGTATCATCGGGTGCTGGGTGGGCATGGCCCATTGGGTGGGCATGGCCCATTGGGTGGGCGTGGCCTATTGGGTGGGCATGGCTGCAGTGGTAACAGCAGACTGGGTGGGACTAAAAAGTTCAATCAATCAATTCCAACTTTGCAAGATCTTTTTTTTCCCCACGAGAAGTTGAAATTGATTGATTGATTGAACCTTTTTTTTTTTTGCACATGGCGGCAAAGGCCTAAAGTGAAAAGGTTTTATAAAACCCAGCTGAAGGCCTAGGACTGGGGCGACGGCACGGGTGCCTACAGAGAGGGCTCTGCGTCCCACCTGTGGCACGCGTGCCATATGTTCACCACCATGGGTGTAAGACAGCAATAGCAATAACATTTAGACTTACATACTATTTCATAGTGCTTGACAACACTCTCTAAGACAGTGGTTCTCAACCTGTGGGTCGGGACCCCATTTGGGGTCAAATGACCATTTCACGGGGGTCGCCAAACAACGCAGTCCACCATTTTTCCCCCTTTTCCTTAGCTGTGCTACTCCCTTTTATTCTATTGGCTTTTGAAAACCAATAGAATAGACTCTCTTGAATAGTGTCTAATTCTATTGGCTTTCAAAAGCCAATAGGAATTGTCCAGGCTGTTTCTGCCCTGCTGAGCCCACCAAAAGTTCCATTCTGCAAATGGTGCTGCAAGTTGTCTGCAGCGAAGGCGAGCTGTCTGGAAGTTTCCACCCCTCCCTGCTGAGCAACTACTAAAAATGTAAGTAAAAGAGGGCCAGGGGTGGGAGGTGGGAGGCCAGCGGGCGCAGGGAGGGTTGCTGGCGAGCGTAGGGCCCGGCGGGTGCCTTACCTCTCTTGGGTTGGGCCAGCTGGTGGCCCAGCCAGTGGTCGGCCTGCTCCGTCTCTGCCGCTTGCCAGCTACGCCTCGGCCGGCGCAGGGGGTGGCACCATGCATGCGCGGTGCTCCCGGGTAGGGAAAGTCCTCGACTTATGACCAGTTTAGTCCTCGGCTTATGACCAGTTGTTTAGTCCTCGACTTACGACTGGTTGGGGGTTGCAGCATTAAAAAGGTTGAGAACCACTGCTCTAAGAGGTGGAAGGCTGAGTCAACCTTGAGCTGGTCAGGATCGAACACCCGGCAGTAAGCAGAGTCAGCCTGCAATACTGCATTCTAACCACTGCTTAAGTAATATTTACTGAAACCCTTTGTGGGTTTTTGATTACCGGGTGACATTAAGAAAGCTGCTCCCTCTTTCAAAGTGCACTGTTGGTAATGCAGAGATAGTCACTACAATATGTCTGTTTTAAAGGGTTGCTTTGAATAATATTGAGGGAATACACCCGAAGTTCTCTGAAAACTCAGTGCAACAATGGCTTTCTTCCTTTAGCTGATTAGAGCACTTGGATTTTTGAAATATTCCACTCTTTGTAGATCTTATTGTATGAAAGCTCATTAGTCATAAACTCTCCAGATACCCGCCGTAAAATCTCCAACCTATTGCAGACATTGGAGGCATCCCACACCATCTTATGGATACACTTTGAAAAATTAGTCGTAGAAAAGAATCTGTATTCAGAAAAGATGATCTGCCCTGACCAAATAAACTTGGATCTCTACTAGAAAGCCACTTTGAGAAGAAACTTTCAGCACCTTCTCCTTTCAACACAATACCTCTCTCTTTTTTGTAGTGACAATAAGTTCCAGAAGAGACTGATCATCGCCCCATGAATCAATTTCTGTAAGGTCATACAAAGTAGACATCAAAGACCCCAAAGTCCATAGGACATGTTTTCTTCTTTGCATGAGGTGGTTGAACATCTAATTTGGGGAAAAAAGAAAAATTTCAGTCAGCTTGGATGCTTGCTGTTGAAGGTGTGTTTGCTCCCATAACCAATATCTCTCATAATGCTTCTCTCTTTTAATTGATCAAAATCCAAGCTAATAGAAAAGTTAGAGAATATAATAATACCATCAATAACTTGGCTTACACAGTGGGATTCACAGAAGTTTCCCTACATTTAACTAACCTATTTGTCATTCCCTACGTTTAACTAACAGCCATTTGTCCAAAATGGTGTAGGGTTTCCTGCCTGAGCAGGGGGTTGGACTAGATGACCTCCAAGGTCCCTTCCAACTTTACTACTATTACTATTTGAAGGATTGTCTGTCTCCTGTAGTTTGTCTGTTCTGCGCATTCTACCCTTTTTTAAACTGAGGGTGATATGGGAGAAAATTATGTTTTTCTCTCAAATGAGTGTTATATTTTTATATAAAATATTGTTTCCTTTTTTAAGAATTTTGTGAAACAGCCTAGAGTTGGGTGGCCTGGAAATCTGATAAACTTCCACTTTGAAATGTAGATTCCTGTCCAGAGCATGTATGTCAAATATGCTATGCTAATACTTATAACTGAATATTTTATATGGCTTTAATGCAGTGTTTCTCAACCTTGACCATTTTAAGGCATGTGGACTTCAACTCCCAGAATTCCACAGCCAGCATTGCTGGCTGTGGAATTCTGGGAGTTGAAGTCCACATGCCTTAAAATGGTCAAGGTTGAGAAACACTGCTTTAATGTAACATCACAAACTAGTAGATTAGGGTCTCTAGCCTTTAGTTCTTTTATGCAAATAAATATTTGTCCTGATGCTCCTTTTTGGCCAGGTGTTTGGGGCTTCTTCTGTTAAATCAAATCATTTAATCTTTTATAGTACAACAGGTCAGAAAGGCTGATGTAATTGTGTGAATAGAGTAGAGTAGAGTAGAGTAGAGTAGAGTAGAGTAGAGTAGAGTAGAATAGAAGAGAAGAGAAGAGAAGAGAAGAGAAGAGAAGAGAAGAGAAGAGAAGAGAAGAGAAGAGAAGAGAAGAGAAGAGTTAGAAGGGAGCTTGGAGGTCTTCTAGTCCAGCCCCCTGCTCAAGCCTGCCAGAAGGGAGCCATGAAGGGGCTAATCAAGGTTGAGATACATTGTTTTTCTCCTTTGTGGAGCCCTTGCCAAGCTCACAACATATCCACCTCCATTTTTACAAGGAAGGAGTTAATTGATAGTCTTCCCTAGAAGATTTTATACATACACTTTCAAGAAGAGAAGTACTGGTGATGATAAGTAATAAGACTTGGCATCCCCATTATGTAAGCTGGGCTGAGGGCTTTCAAATGAAATATAGCAGGATTTCTCTGAAAGAGACCACTTTGTCGGCTCAGGGATCTTCCCCACCTTCATCCAGGGAAGGTTTGAAATCTGCAACATTCTGGAAAATGGCTCCAGATGTGAAACAAGATAACAAAACTCCTACTGCATCACTGGACTTAGAGACAACAATCCGAACCATCACGATGTTCATGAAATATACATCACTCATAGCTTTTTTTGTTTTGTTTTAGAATCTTACAGTCTTATTGTAGGCCTTGTTTGAACACCTTTACATCCTTCCTGAAAAGGGGGCATATACTTCCAACCAGGAATAATAAAAACAAATTGTAAAGAAAAACTTTACTCACCACGATGTTGCCCTCTACCCCAGCCAGTTTAAAAGGAGTGAGTCCCTCATAGTTGAAGACCGCATCCAGGTCCCCCAGACCCTTCTCTTTCTTGTCATAGCAAAGAAGAAGATCGTATATTTGACATGCAGAGGCCTTGTTAGGCTGGAGGGTTAAGATGTGGAAGACTGAATTACCTATCAGAAATTTAAAAAAAAAACAGAAATTAAGTTCATCCTTGTATCTTAAGGAGAAATGGATAAATAATTGATGCCTGTTCAGACTCTTCAATTTTCTTTTTTGGCTTATCAGGAAAAGGAGTCCAACGATTAAAAACTGAAGAATGGAGTTTCCTGCATTGAATATTTGTGCCAAGAAAGTTTCGGCTGCTGTATGATTTAGAACAGACTTTTTAATTTTTTTTAAATTAAGAGATTCCAAGCCAACTTACTTAAACAACGGAGTCAATCAAAACAGCAATAGCCAGTTTGCATCATTCTGGGTAACCACATTATAATATGAAATATTCAGTGTACAGCAATTCTCTTCATAAAATCAAATGCAACACCGAAAAGGATCTTCTACCACATTATGTATTTAAATCCTTGCATGCATTCTGAAGTGATAATTGTGGAACAAGGTGATTCTTCTGATCATGTAGGTTAGCTCTTTCAGTTAGTTTAGATTGTCTGCATTCTTGTCAGCATACACATATAACAATCTTATGCCTCCACCCACTGCAACTGAGATGATGGCTTTCCGTGACCAGCAAGGTTAAGTGAATATTTTTTGGGAGAGAGGACAAAGAAATGCAGCCTGAAGCCAACCCGCTCCCCCAATCTCCCCCAAACCTAATCCCTCTATAGGTCAGAAAGGGGCCTTGGTAATCTCTGCCAGAAGGACCACTATCTCTGCAAGACAGTATAGAGCTATGCAATTGACTCAGAAGTATTGTATCTGTCTACAACTGTGGTGTGATATTATTGGCAGGAGATAAGAGAAGGAGTTTCCCTTACTCAAGGGAAGAGTTGCATAAAGCACCTTCTCTTCCCACATGCATGCCCTTAACAAATGTGCAGAGCCTTTGAGGAAGGCATACCCAGGGAATCCTGCACTCGAATGTTAGCGCCATGTTCAATCAGCAACTGCACAATGGCTTCACTCCCAGCACATGCTGCAAAAGACAAGATGTGTTCCCCTGAGAAAGGAAGGAAGGAAGAAAAAGAAAAGAAAAGAAAAGAAAAGGAGGATTATTTTTGTTCATTATTTAAGCTTTAAAATATCATTGAGCAACATATCCAAGATGAAAATAGTACCTACATGCACACATACACCCTATGTATACATATATACCCCCTACATGTACATATATATTGTGATAACGTATCTATATTTCCTTACCACTGTACCAGTATTAGATAGAGATCTTTTTATTATTATACCATCAGTTAAGAAAGATGCCCTTTACTCGAGTCTCCACTGTCATTAAACTAATCCAAATAACCTCTGAGAATGTACATTTCCCAACAGAATTGGAAAGCAGTTGGAATATAAGCAGCCAGAGGAGGAATAGGATGGCAGTATCCACCTTTTATTCACAGTCTCACTCTGGAGTGTTACAATTTACTCACAGCGAAGATTAATGAGGAGTCATTACCAAAATGCTTGAAAATTGATCTATTAAGCATAGCTTAATTATGGCCTGAAACAGGTAATGAGAGGGCTCTCTAAGCATAGCATGGCCAATCTTCAGCTCCACTGCGGCCAACTGGGAAATCTGGATTACTGTTGGCTGGGTATTTAGCTGCTGTTGGAAAAAAAAAAAGAGTCCCTGAATCAAAATACCAGAGGAAACCAGAGGTAGAACAGCTTGCTAATAGCTAAAATAGATCCATTTATCTGAATTGGAGTGGAATTCAACTGAAGAACATGATGTCCTTAGGGAAAGTAAGAGATAATGGCACATGGACACACAACATATTGCTAGGGATGGGTCAACCTACATCTGCTACACTTGTAGTTCTTTTTTTATGGTCTTAACTATTTTTTTGTTCTTAAAAATGCACAAAATTATTACTCCAATAGACCTTTAAAACCATATTTTCTCTCAACATAAACAACTTTAAAAACAGCTTGATGCTTCTTTTGAAAAGAGAAGGTTCAGGAAGCGGATAGCAGATCACATAACAGATCAAATTAGCTCCTCTCTGGTTTGTACCAGATTTAAACCAATGTGGCTTATCCAAATAGGCTAGGAGTTGGTGGCAGAACTATGAATTCTCCATTAAGAGATCTTCAGCACACTTCACTCTTTTTAGCAATAGTTCCTTGGGAACAAGCCAACCCTAGCCATTTCAGAAAGGAGTGCAGATGCTTCCCTAGTCCTGACTAACTCTCACCTCAATCACAAATTCATTATGAGATCTTTCTTTTAGCCTCTTCAGTGGGAACAGTATCAGCCTACCTGATACAAGCATTGCAAAAGCCATTGAAATAATGCAGCTCTCCAGCTGTTTCAGAATAGTTTATTTTTAAAAATAGACAGTGATACTAAAAGTATAGACTACTCTGAGAAGAAAAGATACTTCTCTTCTACTTGATGCTGGTGTTTCCCTCTTATGTATGGGCTTCTTTTCTCTTAAATGAGAAAGCTCTGTTGACTAAAGATATTTAACACAAATTAATTCATTTTACCTTGTGGGGCAATGTTATCATTAACATTAATTTGTTAATTTGTTTTTTAAATTTACTTCTACTCTGCCACAATTAAATCCTTGGCAATCTACAGACTATATAAATAAAAACTGAAATAGCCATGCTGAGGTTAAAACCAATCAAAACAACCATAAGGATGATAACTGTTAAGTCCTTCGCGAAATGGCAATGAGACGAGAAGCAGTTGTAGTTCTCAGGAACTCTTTATTTCTGTTCAGCATACTGGTTACAAGACGCCGACAACGCCCAAATCTCCCTGCCCCTTTTATAGGCGATTCCGGGGCCAAACTGCAACATTTGGCACGCCAGCACCCGCGCATGCGCGCGAGTGCTGGCGACAACCAGTCTGGTCCCGGGCAGCTTGCACCTGCCCAGGACCGTTGCAATGCCCCGAGCCTGCTTCCACAGGCTCAGGACATAACACCCCTTCCTCCCCGGCTAAGACTATGATCATACAATAATAATATACAACCCAATACGAGCGTGGTGCCCATACTACTTTGTACCAGTTATCCCCTCTGCTTCTATTTTCCTATGTGTACAGGAATACTCTCTGTTAACTCTGTTTTGCCAGTAGAGTTACAAAATCTTCTAAATACTTAGGAGATCTTCTGGCTCTCCGTGACCTCCTGACTTCTGGGTACCTGCCAAGTACCCTTTGACTGAGGGGTGATGCATGCTTGTCCCCCTTGCTATACCCTGGTGATTCCCAAGGACTGTGCTCCAATGCCTGGCCTGCTTGCTTGCCCACCGGGCTCGTCAGCCAGGGCTTCTTTCTCTGTTTGACCTGGTTGTCCTGCCTGGCTGCAGGCTCTCTGGCCCTCTTAAGTGACTGTCACTGTTGGGCGATTCTGTAGAACCTCCCAGGTCTGTCCTAGACCTATCAAGAGGTTGCCTTTCCCCGTGTTCCTGTTCTGTACCCAGGCTTGTTGGGGTTTCAGTGCTGTCCCAAAATTCAGTTGTCCCCTGAGTGATGTCAGAGGTGTTGTAGTCGGGATTTGGTTCCTCGACCACCTCCCTGTGTGCTTGCCCCCTTCTAGGGACAGGGGTAGTGTCGGGCCAACTAGACGGAATGTGTGCCAGCTCTCTTGCAGGGTGTGGGTTGTTTGGACGCTCCCGGATATCCTCCCTGACTGGAGTACTGAGTGATGTGGGTGAGTAGTGATTATGCCCCCGGGGTGACTCCCTGGCTGGAGTAGGCACTGGTGCCTGAGTTCTAGTTGGGCTCCATGGATTCCTGTTTGGAGCACTCGTGGAATCTCAGAATCAGCTCTCTGTAGCTCCCTCGTTACTGATAGGCGGCAGCCCGCACTCTTCCCTTTGCCCAAAAGGGTCCCCCTCCCCCCCTGGAAAAGACCCAGGAGTCTCAGTGGGAAGGTCCCGTGTAGTGCAGAGCTGGTCGATGTGTCGGCGCAGGACACGACCGTTGTCCAGGGACACTTCGTAGGACAAAGGACCTGTGACCCTGGATACAGTGGCAGGGACCCATGAATGACCAGGCCCGTAGTTACGAGTCCAAACCGGGGCACCCACAAGCAGTTGTCTAGGTGTCCTGGGGTGTGTGATTGTGGAAGGTAGTCTGTCCGGGTGCAACTAGTCAAGCTTGGTAGTCAGTTTGCGCCCCCAACAAAGTTCAGCTGGGCTCCTCCCGGTAGAAGTGGAAGGTGTAATGCGATAAGAAAGGAGGAAGTCAGCCAACTTGTGATGCAAGTCTCCATAGGTAATTTTCTTCAAGGCATCCTTGGTGATGCGAACCATGCGTTCAGGCATGCCGTTGGTGGACGAGTGGAAAGGCGCAGAGGTGGCATGACGAATCATGTTGGCCTGTAAGAAAGCTTGGAATTCGGAAGAAGTGAATTGAGGGCCATTGTCAGATACGAGGACATCAGGAAGCCCGTGTGCAGCAAAAATCCCCCTCAGTACTTGAATAGTCTTTGCAGTGGTGGTGGAAGAGACAGGTACAACCTCAAGCCATTTTGAATGGCTATCAACTAGGACCAAGAAGAATTGACCCTGAAAGGGCCCAGCGTAGTCAATGTGCACCCTAGACCATGGAGACTGTGTTTCCTCCCATCTATGTACAGGAGCTTGGGGCATTTCAGGGCGCGAGCGTTGACAAAGGTGGCATGCATGCACCTTAGCTTCAATGTCTTTGTCTAACCCAGGCCACCACAAATGGCTGCGCGCAAGCGCCTTCATATGTACAATGCCAGGATGACTCTCGTGGAGGGAACCTAAGACCCTAGTCCTCATTGAGGTAGGAATGACAACTCTGCTCCCCCAAAGCAGACACCCCTGGAAGGTGGATAACTCGTTCCTTTTGGACCAGAAACTCTGAAACTCAGTGCCTGGACAGCTCTCTGGCCATCCAGATAAAACCCAAGAAAGGACACGCGAAAGTGTGAGATCTGTGGCTGAGTCAGCGACCACATCCCTGGCATCTAAAGGGGACTCAGGCAAGGCCTGAATGGAGAGGATATTGATTGTTGGTGCAGGGTCAGCTTCTATTACCGGCAGGGGTAATCTACTGAGGCCGTCAGCATGGCCCATTTCTTTCCCAGGTTTGTGAAGTAAGGAAAAATCATAGGCAGACAGAAAGATAGACCATCTCAGCATTCTGGGGGAGATGATCTGGGGAGTTTGTTTATGTGTGGTAAACAGCCCCAACAAAGGCTTATGGTCAGTGAAGACTGTGAAATGCCTGCCATATAGGAAATCATGGAATTTTTTGATTCCAGCAACAACAGCTAAAGCCTCCCTGTCAATTTGAGCATAATTTCGCTCTGCAGAAGACAAGGTTCTGGAGTAATATGCAACAGGAACCTGAGTTCCATCTGATCTGAGGTGGCTTAGTACGGCTCCCACCCCATAAGGAGAAGCATCACAAGTGATGCACACAGGAAGGGATTCATTGAAATGTGCGCGCACACTGTTAGAAGTGAGTAAGGCCTTAACCTCATTGAAACTTGCTTCGTGTTTTTGTGACCACTGCCACACTGCCTGTTTGTCCAAGAGCCTATGAAGAGGCTCGGCTACACTAGCCTTGTTTGGAAGGAAGGAGTTGTAGAAGTTCAGAAGGCCCAGAAAGGCCTGTAGTTCAGCCTTGGACTTTGGCCTAGGAGCATGCAAAATAGCTTTCAATTTGGATTCAGCAGGGTGAATCCCGGTAGCATTGATTTTGAATCCCAGAAAATCTGTAGAAGGCACCCCAATTTTACATTTGTCCTTCTTAAGTTTGAGGCCCGTTTTCCTGAACCTCAGCAGGACAGCCCTTAATCTCTCAGCTAAGTTGTGTGTAGAATCTCCTGCAATTAAGACATCATCAAAATAGGGGCAAACCCCTGGTATTCCCCCTAGTGTGTTTTCCATTACACTTTGGAAAATCCCAGGAGCGACATTTACTCCAAATTGTAACCTCTTTACCTTGAATGCCCCCCTGTGGGTCACAATGGTCTGAGCTACAGCAGCAGCATCATCAACAGGCAGCTGTTGATACGCCTGAGCTAGGTCAAGCTTTGCAAAAATGCGCCCCCCCCTTGAGGGAGGCCAGGATATCACTGACCACAGGAACAGGATAGGCATGTTGCTGCAATGCCTTATTCAGAGTGCATTTGTAATATGCACAGATGCGAATGTCCCCATTTGCCTTAAGAGGCGTGACAATGGGGGTCTCCCAAGGACTGGAGTCGACAGGTTCTAAAACCCCTTGCTGAATCAGTTTGTCCAACTTGGTGTCAATTTTTTCCTTTAAAGCAAAAGGGACCCTTCTTGCTTTAATTCTAATAGGGGTGACAGTGGGGTCTAACTTCAGTGACACTGGGGGTCCTTTGTACGTGCCCAACTGGGGGCTGAAAACATTTGCAAACTCTTTGCAGACTTCTTGTAGGTCAATTGTTTGCAAGCTATTGAGCCCTGTGACGTGTATTCCCAAGGCCTCAAACCAATTGAGTCCTATGAGACTCGTTCGTTCATCCCCTACTACTATTACATCTAGTGGACCTTCAAAATCCTTATACTGTACGTTAAGGGTGGCCTCCCCCTTAACACACACTCTGGAGTTTTGAAAGTCTGTTAACACAATATCAGAAGGCCTCAGCTTGGCCTGAAATCTGCTGCCAGAACAAATCTTCCTAAACGTGTGCATGGAAATGATTGAAAGTGCAGACCCTGTATCCAGTTCCATAGCCAATGGAACCCCTTGTAGCTTCACCTTAAGTGACAGCTTTTTCTTGATGGGCTTGTGTGTGCCTGTCCTATAAATGCTTCTTCGCGAAGCGCAGAAACCCACCCTGTTTTGGCTGGGGACCCTGGTACCTTTCAGGCGCAATTCTTCCCGAGGTTGTACCTTCTGACGGCCCAGACACAGCTGCAATGTGTCCCTGTTTTCCGCATGCCCTACAGATAGCGGAGCGGAATCTACAATCGGTCCTCTTGTGGCGACCTCAACAACCGAGGCACTTGGGGAGAGGTGAAGAGCTTTCTTTCTGTTTCCCTTCTTTCGTGGGGAAGAGACGGTCTACTTCATCGTCAGGATCCTCCTCTGGGTTCCTTTGGACTCCTTCCTGGGGCACAGACACAGCTTCTGGAGTGCTTCTGATCGGCCTCATGTTCTTGATGGCGCCACCCGCTGCCTCTTCTGCAGTAACCTCTCTCAAGGCATCTTGGAATGATAAGTCTTCTTTAGCAAAAAGTCTCTGCTGTAATTCTCTATGCCTCAGTCCGCATACAAATCTGTCTCTCAGCCGTTCTTCTAGATCCTTGAACTCGCAGTGTTTAGCGGCTTTTCTCAGCGCAGCAATGTATTCTTTGGCTGATTCTCCGGGTCGCTGATCCCTCTGCTCGAAGGTGTGGCGCCAAGCAATTACGGACAACTTGGGCTGGAAGTGTTCCTTTAGTAGTTTTTTGAGATCTGTGTAGTTAACAGATTCTAGAGGCACAGGTGCTGCTATGTTTTCAGCGATTTCGAATGAGTCTTGACCGCAAACATACAGCAGGGTGGCGGCTTTTAAACTATCTTCTCTTACTTGATTGACTTTAAGATAGTTTTCCACCCTGGCTACGTAGGACTCCCATCTTTCCGGATGCGAGACATCGAATTCTGAAAGTCTTCCAACTTTTGCCATTTTTGTAGAAAAGGAAGGGTCTATCAGCCAGCCTACCCCCGATGCTCGCTAGATTGGCGGGTAGCTGCCGAGTCAACACCGTTCCTACTGCTCAGGACTCTTGGGTAAGCTTACACCTGTCTTCGGTCGATGTAAGGCAATCCCACCTTCGTCACCAGTGTTAAGTCCTTCGCGAAATGGCAATGAGACGAGAAGCAGTTGTAGTTCTCAGGAACTCTTTATTTCTGTTCAGCATACTGGTTACAAGACGCCGACAACACCCAAATCTCCCTGCCTCTTTTATAGGCGATTCCCAGGCCAAACTGCAACATTTGGCGCGCCAGCACCCGTGCATGCGCGCGAGTGCTGGCGACAACCAGTCTGGTCCCGGGCAGCTTGCACCTGCCCAGGACCGTTGCAATGCCCCGAGCCTGCTTCCACAGGCTCAGGACATAACAATAACTATAAACAATACCCTCCCCATAGGAACAAAAACAACAAGAACAAAAAAATAAAACAAGAGTAAACTTTTTAGTCACATATATATCTCTAAAAACATACTGAATCTCATTGTTACTATCGTTTTAAATGCTTAGACAATCCTTAGTGTTGGTCTGGGCAGCTAGGTGCAAATGGGCAGCTGATGCATTTGGTTAAATGGGAATGAGAAAACACTCTTAGAGTCTCTTTTCTACAAAACTATTTTGGAAAGGATATACAAAAGTCTTGTCCTCTTTTACATCTGGTCACTTTTGGTTGGTTGATGACTTCATGCTCCTCAACTGAGGATTGAGTTGTGAAAATAGGCAGATAAAAGCTGCCCATCCAAGATCAAGTGCCATAGAATGAATTCCTATTATTATTATACCATTGAGAGATTTTCCATATAGCCTTGTGCCTCAAAGTAATTCTCCTGACCCACCAGTTGCAGGTTAAGTATGTGGATCTTTAGTGACAGAGGAATGATAGCTGAGAAGACTATGGTGTTTTGGAGGAGAGCACCTTGTATCTCAGGACTCAAGGGACAAAACGCTCTTCCTCACCATAGTGTTTCCTCTACATATGTAAAGTACAATGCAAATTGCAGATTATTCAAATAGAAGGTGTTTGACCGCCGACATACCAAAATAGAAAAGACTGTCATTTCTTCTCCTGAAAACATATCCAGTAGCACGAGGTCCATTTACATCGGCTCCCTTCTCAAGCAAAGCTTTCACCAGGCCCAGGTTTTTGTTTACCACAGCTATGTGAAGAGCTGTCTCCCCTGTAATACACAACATTAACAAAAAAAACTTTGTAGCATCTTGAAATTCCACGTGTGTGTATTTGTGTGTGCATGGATGTGTATGTTTATATGTGTATATAAGCAAGTGTAGTCATAGATTTACACGAACTATAATCTATTTCATCAGATTATCATGGCCTCTGGTGACACTGACTCCAGAAAGTCATGAAAGGTTATCATCAGTCTTTTTCAAATCAGATTCTTTGAACAGAATCCCATGTTGGATCAAGAAGAGCTATTAGCTACTGATCTTAATTAATAAAGCTCAGTTTTTCTTATAAAAATGGAGCCCCTGAGGAACTTTCCCTGTCCATTTTATTAAATCTATGCCCACACACCTAAACAAAGCTGGCATCTACAGAAAAAGCTCTGCAACAAGAAGCAGTAGACTTATAACAAGGCAAATATTGGTTGGATGTTCAAAGTAAAGAGTAGGGCTGAAATAATGTCCTGCACTCTAGCTAAAAGATTGGGTTCTGGACCACAGAGAATTTAGTCTGTGGTCTATCATATCTACAGAGACTAAATTCTCCTTTAATTCAGATTGCTCTATCTACTTCTTAGTAGCTCCCTGTTAGGACTACAACACAAATGAGGAAACCTGTACTCAATGAAGCACAAAGTTATGACAATACTGTTAAATTTTAAGATATCTGTTATTTCCTCTACAACAGAAACTGGTTATTCCTCTGGAAACCATGATCAGCCTTCTTGAGAGCTCATTATAGAATCAATGCAGTTTTTAGAATAGTATCTCATGAACAACATAAATACATATTTTAAATCACTTATAGTTTATATCAGCCTCATGCATTTTCAGAGAAGTTCATCAGGGTTAAATGCAGAAGGGAATTGAATTTGATTCAGTGTAAGTTTGGAGGCTGGATTTAATTATTAATGCAATTGCAAAGTTAATTGCCGTTAAAAATGAATACCCAGGTTCTCGTTCAAGAGTGTTAATCTTTAATGCACTGCTTAATATTCCATCTTGAATTTCTAAGAAGATATTTCTCAGGGGCCTAGTATGAGGCAATGGCAAAATGACCAAACTGTGAGGTCCTTGATTCAGGTCTCACCACAAGCTTCCTACTAATCCATTTTGAATATGTAGTGCTTTAAGTTGCACTCTTATGATATCAGCAATTATACTTTTTATTCCTTTCATAATAATCTCTTACATGGAATTAGTCTTTTTTTTTTCTGTTTGTTTTTTAACACTGGGGCTTCTTAGCATTTTCATCAGAATCACAAAAAAATGTCTTTCCACCAGAATCATAAACATTTCCATCAGAACTGCAAATTCTGTCAGTCCACCTATGAAGTTAGATTGCATTCACTTACAATGAGCCATTTTGTTGTCCATTCACATAATTTAGTTCTTTCTATTTCTTTTTGTTCCTAGTATTTGGTGTCATTTGAACATTTGAATACTTCATTGTTCATGTCATATTTCAAATTGTTTATGGAACAAGTAAAACATTGGTCTACAGTACAGATCAGGTTCTCAAATACAGTATATTCTTATTTTAAACGAGGCAAATTATAGTCTCAGTCGCACACACAGTTTATATGGCAAGTTATTAGCCAAATTAGCTATAAACGTGTCTTATATGTCTAAAACAAAGAGGTGGCGTAGCAGTTAGGGTGCAGTACTGCAGGCCACTTTAGCTGACTGTGTTCAGCAGGTCAGCGGTTCAAATCTCACCAGCTCAAGGTTGACTCAGCCTTCCATCCTTCTGGGGTAGGTAAAATGAGGACCCAGATTGTTGGGGGCAATGTAAATATATATATACATTGCTTACTGGTGTACACCGCTTAGAGAGTACTCGCACTTAAAGCAGTATATAAGTCTCATAAATAAATAAATAAATAAATATCTAATATTTCACTGTTTCTGGGCACTGTAGAAAAAAATTGGACTTAAATGGTTATATTATCAGAGTCTATTGTGGAATAAATGGTGGTCTGGATTCATTTATAGTCACTCTTTTTAACAACATTCTTATGCTCAATTAAAAAGTGCATTTTTCACATCGGAAAAATCAGCCTCCGTACACTAACCCACTGAAAAGGTCCACCATGCCCCATAAACATCTGAAGACCTGGAAGTGGGCCTGAATGGTAACTGGAGAAAAATAACAGAATATCTTGCCATGAGTAATCCCATTATCTTATTTTCCATAGCTGGGTATCATGAAAAGACCCATTTCAATAGAGTTTCCATACATATATTCCGGTATTATTTTTTTTCCTTTGATTGTGAGCTAGAAGGTGACTAATTATGTTTATGATAACTAACGGTTTCTTCACTGATATTTTATTCAAACAATGAGACATAAATCCAATAATCACAATAATTACCAGCATACAGCTCAGAGGTCACAGGTTCATTCACAAGTTCTGGAACAGCATTGATCAAGAGCTGAGCAGCTTCTAAGTTATTGTATAAGGCAGCTACATGAAGAGCTGTCTCCCCAACAGCACCTACAAAGAGTGTCAAAGAAAGAGAAGATGCCATGACATTGCAATGATCTTGGGATGTTCCCTCTAGAGATAGCCACAACTACTTTGCATATGGCAATTATGTTTACAGGTAGAATGCTGGACACATCTATTTCTGGGGTCTCTTGTATTGTGGCCTCTCTCCTGACAGACAATAAACGAGAGTGCCCATGCAATATGCCTTATGGATTCATGAGGAGCAATTTTTGTTTTCCAGAAGGAAGTTTAGGGAATTTAGCCATCCTGCTCCTTCCAGGATCTGATGCTGTCCTTGCATATGCCAACCAACCAACCAACCACACATTTCTACCACCATCCTTCCATCTCTTTTTTGCTCCTCAAATTGTGCTTTTTCTTAATAGGTAATGGGGCCATGATAAGTAGCTCAGACCACTACCTCGTTCATGAAGGTCACAGGTATGACTTGCTATCAGCTTCTGGATGGCTGAGAGATCATTTTCTTTTGCAGCCAGGAGGAGGGGAGATTCCCAGATCCTGAAGCAAGCAGGAACGAAAGGTAATCAATTCAGAATGCTATAGATTACAATTCACATAGAAATATCTTTTCACTATATCTGTTGTTATCTTTCTAAACTAGGAAAATTATTATTTTTAATCATAAGGCAACTAAAAAAAATCCCGAGAAATACAGATATATAAAACTGGCTATCATCTATAACAGGTTATCTTCAGTCAAAGGCCTGCCATTTTTATTATGTTTTAAAGGGGACCTTGTTATTGTGCCTGAATATTACATAGAGGATTTAACAAGAGAATTCAGCTAGACTTTTGGTTTAGTATCTACAAAAAGTTACAAATAAATGCAAGAGTCACCCAAAAATTAAAGGGCATACTCAAAAAACTATAAATGGTCAAGGTTTGTCAATATAGGCTACCAATCTGGAAAATTAAAAAAGAGATCATCAGTTAGCCCAGAACGTCCATTCCACTGTGTGATACTCCCTATGTTGCCTCAGCCTTGGGTGCCATGTTGCCTGCTTTTTAATTTACATTTTCTAAATTTAATTTTAGAATGGTTATTTCTGAAGTTCATTAGTTCTTCATTTTTATATTATTCTTTCTCTTTTTACAGAATATTGAAGTACAAAGACTTAGTTATTAATTGGATAACAACACCATGGAATGCCTTCAGGAATGGATTTTTTTTAAAAAAAACATGATAATTGATTGTTTTTATTTTTCTTACATAGAGCTCCACAGGGATTTTTTCAAAAGCAACAAATCAGCTGCCAAATAGCAAATGCAAAATGTCAATGTAAATCAATGCAGAGTTAATGAATGTTGGGGCAATACAGATAAATATGACAAACTCATATCAGACCCATGCCAATAGACACATTCTCTGAAACTTCTCTGATGCTTCGCTTTACACTACAACCACAAGTGTATTCTACTTTCTTTTGTTTTCTCAGAAGGTTCACTAAAAGTCTTGTGTTTAGTTAGTCTCAGTCAGAAGAATGATAAAGAGTTGCACTTGAGTAAATTTTATATAGCTCAGTCATAGAGAAAACTTAAATAAGATGTGGATCCTAGGAAAAGAAGACACCAGCTTTTACATTTTGGTTCATATCCACAGTAGATATTGAGCTAAAGAAATGAATATTGTATTGAGTACTAAAGTTCAGATTTAGTACAAACTCTGAATATATATTTATGTGCACACTTTAAATTTAAACTTTAAAAAATGACATGGAACCTATTTAAGCCATCATTAATTTAAAAAAATAAGTGTCGATGGCTGAAGCATTCTCAACTGCTGAACAAAATATTCTCAATTTTTAAAACTTAATTTGTAGTAAAAATCTGGTGAAACCTAAAATGTGGAAATCCATGAGAATTTTTGCTTGTCTTATTGTACAGAAATGTTATCTATATTACGGTTGTTATTCACTTTTTTTTACTTAGGAAATTGGAGGTTAGCATTATCCATTTCATTATAGTCACTCCATTACAAACTATAGAAATAGCATTTCATAAATATGTAAAATATTGCAAGCAGAAGTGTGCTTGAGTCCTTCCTTCTATTCTAAGCCAGCAGTAAATATTTAAAATCTGAAATCTATTAAGCTTGTCTTAATTCTGTCCTACTAACCATAACAGATCTTACACTGCTAAAAGTTAAACACATTTCTTATCTGATGAATGCACCTCCAAGGATTGATTTATTGAATCTATATGTTTCATCTAGCTGACCACCAGGAGTTCAATTTAGCATTTTCCTAATAACAGATGCAGCATAAATAGATCATGTTTCTGTGTAAAACAACGGTTCTCAACCTGTGGGTCGCGACCCTTTTAGGGTCGCATGAGCCTTTTACAGGGGTTGCCTAAGACCATTGGAAAACACATATTTCTGATGGTCTTAGGCAGGGCTTGTCAACCGCCTTCTCTCCCTCCCCCCTCCACTCTACCTCACTTGTTTGTGGAAAATATGCTGCTTGGCGGCAGTCTGCACGAACTCTACCAAATGTGCCCTGCAGGGGGCTCATGAAAAGCGCAGGCGCAGAGCAAGGCTCCGCCCTCCCTAGAGACTCATTGTGCAGCAACTGGATTGACTTCTTCTCGTGCACGCAGGTCAGCGAAGGGGAGGCCGCCGCAGCACCCAACTCCTGCGCCCATAAGCTGGCGACCCCCGAACTTGCGCTTTTCAGCCGGAGGGTCTGGCGATGGCTGCCGGTCTCCTTTGCCACCCCCCAATCCTTGACTCCTCCTCTGCCCGTTCATGTCAAGCCTGCTGGGGCTTGACAGGGAGAGAGGGAGGGAAGGAGGAAGGGACTCCTCCTCCTCTCCTAAGCTCAAAGCACGATCGGCTTCCCAACGGTGCCACAATCCTCACGAAAGCGGGGGGGGGGGAGAAGCAAAGGGGGTGAGAAAGCTCGTGGCGGGCTCGAAGGAGCACCTGTCAGCGTTGGTGATGAGAAATTCCCCACAAACCCAGGGAAGGGGTGGAGAAAAGGAGCCCCCTTTGGGAGGAAACCGCCACCTTCTTCTCCTTAGCTTTGCGTTCTTCTGTTCCTTGGCAGCCGGGCTGCCAAGCCTCTGCTGGCTGGAACTTCCTTTCCTTCCCTCCCTCTTGGTCTCTTCCTCCTTCCCTCCCTCTCCCATTGTCCCTTCCTTCCTTTCCTTAACCTCCCTCTTTGTCTCTCCTTCCCTCCCTCTTTCCCCTTGTCCCTTCCATCCTTCCTTCCTTCCTTCCTTCCTTCCTTCCCTCTTGTCCAGGATCGGGGCTAACCCCTACAGCTGATCCGCGCTTCTGCAGAGCAGCCAAGAAGCAGGTCAGCTGTAGCAGCTCTCCTTGGCTCCTGCCCAGCAAACTTGCTCGAGCTTTGCTAGAAAACATGCCGCTTGCTAATTTAGCAGAAGCACGAATCAGCTATAGCCCGACGCTGATTCTGGCGCTTCTGCTAACTTAGCAAGCAGCATGTTTTCTGGCGAAGCTGAGCAAGTGAGCTGAGCGGAGCTCTCCTCTGCCTCTGGCAGGCTGTCCCCCCTCCCCTTGTCCCTTCCTAGGCACGGAGGGGGGGGGAGGAAAGAAGGGACAAAGAGGGAAGGAAGGAAGGAACAATGGAAGGGAGGGAAGGGACAAAGAGGGAAGGAAGGAAGGAAGGAAGGAAGGAAGGAAGGAAGGAAGGAAGGAAGGAAGGAAGGAAGGAAGGAAGGGACTAAGAGGGAGGGGAAGGAAAGGAAGGAAAGAAGGAAGGGACAATGGGAAAGAGGAAGGGAAGGAGGAAGAGACTAAGGGAGGTGAAGGAAAGGAAGGAAAGAAGGAAGGAAGGGACAAGGGGAGAGAGGGAGGGAAGGAGGAAGAGACTAAGAAGGAGGTAAAGGAAAGGAAGGAAAGAAGGAAGGAAGGGACAATGGGAAAGAGGAAGGGAAGGAGGAAGAGACTAAGGGAGGTGAAGGAAAGGAAGGAAAGAAGGAAGGGACAATGGGTAAGAGGAAGGGAAGGAGGAAGAGACTAAGGGAGGTGGAAAGGAGGAAAAGAAGGAAGGAAGGGACAAGGGGAGAGAAGGGAAGGAAGGCACCCACCCCAGTCCCATCCCAGAGACCCACAGTTTCCCCCCCCACAGGCACTCTGCAACCTGGCCGCGCCCCCTGGCCATTGATCACGTGACCTTGGGACACTGTGAACGTCATAAGTATGAATCAGTTGTCAAGCATCTGAATGTAAATCACATGACCCTGGGGATGCTGCAACAATTGTAAGTGTGAAAAATGATTATAATTCGCTTTTTCAGTGCTGTTGTAACTTCAAACAGTCACTAAGTGAATTGTTGTAAGTCGAAGACTACCTATACTTTCCCATTTTTTCCTCTTTTTTTGGTCAAGTTTTTGATACTCCCCGGGCAGCTGGATGGGGGGGGGTTTGGGGGTCACCACAACATGAGGAACTGTATTAAAGGGTCACAGCATTAGGAAGGTTGAGAACCACTGGTGTAAAAGAAGCAATACATGTTCTACTGAGCCAGTGTTCCTCTTTTTACAAGAGCAAAGATGCTGCTTATATGCAATTTTCTAGCATCTACCAACTAAAATTGCTGATAGCATAACATTAAATCTGGTCAAAAGAGCTAAAACTCTTCACTATTTTAGCATCAAAATGCATAAGCAGCTGTTCAGTAACTACCATTAACACCTGGTAAGGGGAAATATTTTGGGGTGGCATTCAGATTAAATTCTTTCATTAATTGAGTTGATAACTTTATTCTGAAGAACTCATAGATTCTGAAGAAAACTCATAACAGGACTCACTCCCATCTACCTTTAAAACTATATTTCAGCACTACTGGACTTAGCCCAGAAAGGGGGAAAATCAGTTTTAAATGAAAAGAAAATTATAAACCATGGACTATAACAATTAGTCCATTGTTTCCAATCCCTGTTCAATGTGTAATCCAAAGTACTCTCATTTGAGAGATGATTGTCTGGACTAAACTTGAACATATCTCTCTGGTAATTGGTTCTGCTCTAAATTCCTCTTACAATTAAAACTTTTTGGGGAAAAAAATTCAGATAGAAGGTGGTTTCTTGTGGCTTAACATGGTTACTCGATGTCCTCAACGCTGGAATTAGAAAGAAAACAGATTTTGAATTTCCATATGACATATGTTGAGGTATTTGAAGTACTCTTACATTCCCTCAATCTTCTCAAGATGAAAAAGTCCAAGTCCTTCAAGCTCTATTTATAGGACTTTGTTACTATCCCCCAGAACAACTTTCATTTTCTTAAAACTAAAGTCTATAGAATCATCATCATCATTAGTAAAACAAGGAATTCCACTGTTCTATCCCAGCCTATAGCCATCCTTGTTAAAGGCACAAGGACCAAACCCCTGTTGATAAAATAGGCTGGAGACTTTAAAACAAAACAAACCCCTTTTAATATAGGTGACAAACCTGCCAAATAGTCCAAAACACAAACAGCAAAACTCAATCCAAATGAAGGAAATACTCCACAGGAAACATGATGCAAA